TGATAGCGGCGATATAGCAGTCTTCCCAATAATTATTTTTAAATAAATAATTTGCTTCATATAAAAAATTTCTAATAAAATATTGCAATGGGGTTGACTGTTTCACTCCTTTATAAAATACATCAATGATCGAACAAATATTGAAAAGTTGTCTCTTTATTAGTAGGATGTTTATACCAAGTTTCGTTTTTTCCCCATGTTAAAGAAAAAAATTAAAATGTGAATTTCAATCCCCTACTTTCATATAAGGTATTTTTACTTCAATCCTCTTATTTTTAGGTCTACATTCACTGGCACTACTTTTGCTACTTCATTTAAAAACACCTTGTATATATACTTCCGCAAAAAATTAAGGGAGCAAAAAAATTTTTCGAATTTTTAGTGATTTTTCAGAATGCTGTATCTCAGTTAAAAATGATCGTATCAAGGTTTTAAAAAAAGCATTTTAAAGCGCCGAATGTCTAGTTTCCAGATTTCTTAGCTCAAAATTTTTAGGAGCGACAGTCATCGCGAAATTCTAAGAAATAAGACTAAAAAATTTTTTTTTCAATTTTTTGCGTTTTTTTTCTCGGTCCACGGGCTTGGAAAAATTTTTTACACAAAAATCATGATATGGACTTGATAGCCTGTTCATTCAGCTTTAATTTCTTTTTTTAAATTTTTCTCTACGTTAATTTGACCCGGAGATATTCGACTACGAATACAAAAGCATCCTTTTGGCTTTAACCATCGATATCTCAGCAACTAATGATCAGACAGAAAATTGACGGGCAGTTTCGAAATCTCGAATAAATTTCCTACAAGGCTATGTAGCGTTCTTGGAAGAAAAAAATTTTCTTTCATCCTCGACATTAACTTGAAAAAAGTGAAAAAAAGTGACTTTTTGACTTGTTTTGCTAAGTCGACCGCATCTTTGCTAATATCGATGGAGAGTCTAATGCTTGTACGAATTTTTACACCTCGATGTACCCCCAAAAGCTCCGTAAATGGGCAGATCGATCTATCGAACGGTTTTTCCGGACCGCTTAATCAAAATTTCAGAAAAATTTAAAGGAGCAAAATTTACATTTCTGAGCACCCTGTAACGTTCGTAAAAATGAAAAATTTGATTTTTTTTCAATTCTTTCACAATTGGGCATTTTTTGCTCATTGAATTTGAAAAAAAAAAAAATTTTTGAAAAAATCTGAAATTTTAATTATGCGGTCCGGAAAAACCGTTCGATAGATCGATCTGCCCATTTACGGAGCTTTTGGGGGTACATCGAGGTGTAAAAATTCGTACAAGCATTAGACTCTCCATCGATATTAGCAAAGATGCGGTCGACTTAGCAAAACAAGTCAAAAAGTCACTTTTTTTCACTTTTTTCAAGTTAATGTCGAGGATGAAAGAAAATTTTTTTCTTCCAAGAACGCTACATAGCCTTGTAGGAAGTTTATTCGAGATTTCGAAACTGCCCGTCAATTTTCTGTCTGATCATTAGTTGCTGAGATATCGATGGTTAAAGCCAAAAGGATGCTTTTGTATTCGTAGTCGAATATCTCCGGGTCAAACTAACGTAGAGAAAAATTTAAAAAAAGAAATTAAAGCTGAATGAATAGGCTATCAAGACCATATCATGATTTATGTGTAAAAAATTTTTCCAAGCCCGAGAAAAAAAACGCAAAAAATTGAAAAAAAAATTTTTAGTTTTATTTCTTAGAATTTCGCGATGACTGTCGCTCCTAAAAATTTTGAATTAATTAAGAAATCTGGAAACTAGACATTCGGCGCTTTAAAATGCTTTTTTTAAAACCTTGATACGATTATTTTTAACTGAGATACAGCATTCTGAAGAATCACTAAAAATTCGAAAAATTTGTTTGCTCCCTTAATTTTTTGCAGAAGTATAGTATAATTAGCTGTATTTTGCCCAAGATAAGTAAATTGCTGTGTAAACTTTTAAATCTGACACCACATCTCACCTTGTAGTCTAGATGTCAGTACCATCCAACAACAATAGTAGTGATTAGTTACTTAAATGTAAGTCTACAATAAACTGAGGTTATTTTCAAGAAATCATCGTAAAGCTAAGTCGTTCAGGACAAAAATTTACAGGAACTTTTCCTCATAATATCATCCAATGTTCTTAAGTTACACCTTAAAGTCCGTATTCCTACGTAAATAAAAAAATCACCTTTTTCTGTATCAGATTAAACATCATCAAATTCTCCACGCTGTTCTTAAAAATCTGCAATGTGGAAAGTCCGCTGTGGAGTATAAGCAATGTATTGCAACTCGAAAAACTGACAATAAATCTTAATTTTGACGGCCGCTAGTTTGCCTCCCGGGACAAACGGCGTCCACGCTATTAAAGAATGAATTATGCAGAAGTCGTCGTAAAATATTAATGAATCGCTGAAAAACTTGGGCAGACAAAACGCTATTAATAATTTACGGGATAAAACATTACGAGACGTCGTCGTCGTTTTTTTTTGTCCGAATGGCCAGAAATGCAACTTGCTCATTAAAAGCGCGACGGCGACTATTTGAAGTTGTTTGTATTAAAATTATAACTCTTCAACTCCTCAACTTTCTTAATATCGCCTTTCCACATTGCGAGGTCACAAAACTACTTTTCACTCCACACCAAAGCGGTATTTTTACAGAGAAAACGGAAAAATAAAAATAACCCAGTGCCTTCGCAAATTAAAACTAGCACACACTCGCTCCTTCTTTTGCGAAAATAAAAATGACACTCAAAAAGATAAATGCGAAATTAAACGCTTAAAATCTCAGGCTTTGAGGCAGAGAGTCTTATACTAGGGACGTACCAAGTGAATCAAATATACAATTAACGAAATAAATTTCCCGAGGAAATATAAGTAGTAAAATTCTTTGCTAGTGATATAAAACTGGAAGCCAAGTCATTAAATTTCCAGATTTGCCAACCGCCAGAGGGAGAAGATAATCATTTGAAGTACATACTTCAAAGTTTATAGTTTTGCTGTACAGAGTATGTCCCACTTAACCTTACCACCCGCTTACTTCGGTTAGTTTTGCAGATATAAATTTTTTATTGAAATAAATGTAGTAGTTTTTTAAGTTTCTGTTTGTAGCAACAAAAAAACGATTCAAATTTAAATGTCAATGTGACAGATATAACTAATTATTTTTTTAATGGAACACCCTGTAAATTATTACACTTTTAGATGTAAAATTTTATTCTGAACAAAAGTATATAACATATGTGGTACTTATTTTTGACAGTCTTTGATATATTTTTATAAATGAACCCTGCATATTGCATATTCAAGATTGCCATGATTTTATTGATATTTTGTTTCTAATAATTATTTTGACGATTATGACAATTAAAATAACAATAGGCAGTACTTGTGAATTGATTTTAGGTAAATTAAAGTGGGAAACATGTATTGTACCAAAAAAGATCGTAGTAATATTGTCGAAATATATTTCAATAACAGCAAAAATGCTAGCGCTGCTGTCAGATGTTATCCTGACAGGCACACCCCGACAAGAAAAACTTTCTTGAATACGGCACGTACAGGTAAGTTCAGATGTTTTCATACATCATTTCAAAAATCGGACCAGAAATAATAAATAATAATAATCAAGAAATTGAGTTAAATATTCTTTTATATTTCCAAGAAAGTTCTCCATAAAGGACGCCGCTAGAGATTTTGGTATTTCTAAATCATGCATACAAAGAGTTCTTAAAAAGAACAATTTAAAACTGTTTAATGTAATGCCCGTCCAAAAATTAACATTAAATGATAACAATCAAAAGGTAACATTTTGCCAAGAAATGATGGATAAATAGAATAATCCACGTATTTTCAAAAATATTTTGGACGGATGAGGCAACATTCTCAACAGCCGGCATATTTCATAGGAAAAACAGCTATGCGTATATGGAAACCTTCATTTTGTGAACGAAATTCAATTTTAGAGAAGAAGGACGGTAAATGTCTGGTGTGGAATCCTCAACACGAGGATATTTTTTATTATTTTTCATGAAACTCTAACAGGCAGAAGATACTTAGAGTTTCTATAAAACGAAAAAAATGACTTTCTGTCAGAAATTCTATTAAACCAGTCGAGGGTAATAATCTGGCAGGAAGACGGAGCTCCATGTCATAATACTGGAGAAGTTACCAAGTTTTTAAATAACAATTTCACGGAGTGGATTGGTAGGCGAGGCACCACATTGAGGCCTTCCCGTAGTCCAGATCTTAGTCCACTTAATTTTTTCTTGAGGGGTTATTTAAAAATAAAGAACATACTAATAGAGTAGAAGATGTAAATCAATTAATTGAAAGAATAACGACCGAAATTGCGAATATCAATAATAATCCCGACGTATTAGAAAATGTGATCGCATCAATAAAAAAAAATATAGATTATGCATCCAGAGGATTGGGACTTGCATAGAACAATTATTAAAATAATTTATATTTTTCTTGTTCTGTTAATATTCATTACTCTTTCTATAATTTTGTTATTTGTTCGATCTATTGTTTATGTTTTTCTATTTTCGTTTCCCGATATTTTACAATAAAACTGTAAAAATAAGTGCCACATATATTATATACTTTTGTTCATAATAAAATTTTACATCTAAAAATGTAATTTACATTAAAAAAATAATAAGTTGTATCTGTCACATCGAGATTTAGATGTGAATTGTTTCTTTGTTGCTACAAACAGAAACTTCATAAAAACACTACAACTTTTATTTCAACAAAATTTTTATATCTGCAAAACTAATCCAAGTGAGGTGGGAAAGTTAAGTGGGACACCCTGTACATCGAATCGAATTGTAGTAAATAATACTGTTTTTTTCCTTATAAACTTTTCATTACATTCTTAATATTCTAATAACACTATGTATTTTATAAAATGTCCTAACCAGATCCGCCGTTTTATAAAACGCCTAGATGTTTTATTAAGGAAGGCCAGACTGTTAAATCTTCGTGGACTTTGCGTCATTTTACTTCTTGACTAGTTATTCTGTAGCTAGGAATTTTATAAAACGATGGATTTTATAATCTGGCTACGACATTCCTCAACATTATAAATGCGCAATTTCTTCTTTAGTGTTAGTTTATTAATTATTAAAATGAAAATGACTGAACTCTTTTTGTTAAATGTGTTTAAGCACATTTAACCCCTGTTGAGAAAATTATGACTTGGCTTTATATTCCCATCACTTTATTGATCAGTTTTTCTTTACAGTAAAATATACATTTTACTAAAATATTTCAATATAGTCATATCATTTATTAAGTTATGTTGGTTAGAATAAAAACCAGCGTAACATTCTTGAAAGAATTTTACTCGGTACTTATAGCAAGCTACAAAAAACATGTTTAAATAAAAACATAAAAGTGCTGCATTATTACTCACGTGCACTCGTAATCGTTCCAAAGGTCTACGCATTCGAAGGGCTCCGGGCATATAACGTTCGCGCAGGGTTTGTTCGAGGGACAGTTCCTCTCTAGATTTCGCGCCATGGTCGCTTGTCCCCATTGAGTTCCATTCATGGCCGGCGGTAGAGGTAAGTGTTTGCCTTCCAACCGTATATCGTCCAAGCATCCTAAACAGAACAAACATCTTATATACAAAAGCAAATACTCTTTTATCGCTACTGTGTACCTTTTTGATAGTCCGCATACACTTCGAAGGTCCTCACGCCGGTGTATTCTGCCTTTCCTCCCGCGTAGACGCCCTCTTGTTTGTCAACAAGCAGCCACTGGTGGCCGGCGAAGTTGAAGGTCTCGTTGTAGCGTCTCCCTTCGCCCCCGTCCAGCTCCAGAGTGGCTGCGGAACCGTACCTGCTCACTCTTGCCACATGCCACTGTCCGTCATCTACTGGAACCGCGCTCAGCCAGATGTCCTTCTCTTCGGTACGCAGGGAATTCAAGTTGTACCTGAAGTACAGTCTGGAGTCCTTGATTTCAAGGATGGCGTATTCGCGGTTGTGCTGGTCGGATACGCGGAATAGTTCTCCGTGTTCTTCCCTCGTCCTGAATCTGAGTTGGATTTGGGTGGAGAAGCGGTCCGGTTCGAAGCTCAGAGCGTATTTGACGTAAGACTGGGGTTTGAAAGATGTGGGTATGGTAGGGATTGTGCAGGCGGGTCCTGTGAATCCAGGCCTGCATTGGCATTTGGCTTCGTTAAAGCTTCCGCTGCACGTGCCGTGTTCCCAACACCTGGAGGTAGCGTCGGAGCGTCCACATACCTCTTCCGTTTGCGGACAACCCGGGACGCTGTGCCTGGAAAGTCCCGGATGCGCCAAGTCGTAAAGTTTAGAGTTGTGGAAGAGATTCCTGATGCATCCGTCGAAGGATTTACCCACCGGCATGTACTGCCAGTGGTAATGCGTGGGATCGAACTGTTCCACGTACAAACCGCCCAGTTGGAGCGGGGCGTTGACGTTGAGGTACTCGTTGAAAGGCGGAATCGTTCCTTGAGCCTGGCAGCTGCTGTCGTCGAACTCGGGAGGCGTTCCGTCTTCCATTTCAGATATATCCGCCGATTTGCAATAATCCACCACCATCCTGACGTTCTCCGTGTCCCAGAAAATGTCGAGTCTGTGCCATTCTCCGTCGTCTAATGTCTTTTTGGTTTTCACTCGCAATTCCAGCGTTCCCGAGCCGAAATCTAAGAGGAGTCGGGGATATCCTCGTTCCAATTCCACGGCTATGTAATCGGAAACCATAATTTCGTCTTTTTCTGGAGGTACAATCGGTCCGTTGTATAGCAACAAACCGTCGGCCTTCCTCGTTATGAATTCAAAGTGCAAGTGGGATTTGTCGCACATTTCCAGGGCGGGATACCATGCCCATCCATTCCCCCGGAAACCGCGGGATGTTTGCTGGCATCGGGGCCCGTTGTAGCCCGCCGGGCACGAGCAGCTCAGTGAGTATCGCGTCTCTATGCACCTGCCCCCGTTGTAGCAAGGGGTGTTGCGGCAGTTCTCCTCCTTGCTGAAGTTCCTAGCGCCGCACGTACACTCTGCCAATACATCGACCCTGACGCCCACCAAAGCAGTTTTATTTGCGTTTACCATGTAGGGCAAGGCACTTATATCTAGAGTGTTTGTACATGAACCCTCGCACATCTGATTCTCGTACAGGCACTCGTCAATCCCCACCATGGTAATGTTGATACCTACGGCCCTCTCTATCTCCTCCCTGTGCATCAGCACTATTCCGTTGAGCCTGACGGGTTTGTAGTAGGGGGATCCGTGTGCGGCGAACCTCACGTCCGTTACAGGGGGATGCTTCCTCCTCAGCTGCACGCTGAACACGTCCACGTTCTCGCGATCGATGTTCAGCAGGTCGGCTATCTTATCCCTGAATTTCTCCGCCATGCTCTTTGACAGGCTCTGCGAGTGGTAGTCCCAGATGCGGATGAATTCCTCGTCCGTGATGTCGGCGATCCTCACCGAGCCGGAGTTGACGACGGCTTCGTGTGGGATTTCCTTGACTGTGACCGTTACATTAGCCGGCACGTCGGTTTGGGTGTGCTTCCTGTCGTACACTTTGAATCTCAAGTGGTACGTTCCGTCCCTGGTGCCGTGTTTCATCGAGATCATGCCCGTTTCTTCGTTTAGTTTGAAGCGCGGGTGTTCGGCGCCCTCCCAGTAGAATTTTTTATCGGGCAGGTCCCAGTCGTCTAGATCGTATACGTACACGCGGCCAATTTCCGTCTCCGGCGCTTGGCCTTGGTAATTGTATACGAATATCTCCTTGGAGCCGGGTTGCATTTTGTTGTCGTTCACGTCGCCTATCACCACCGTCAGCGTGCTGGTGCCCGTCATGGCTGGGTTGCCGTGGTCCTTTATCACGATGGGGATGTAGTATTCTTTCTGCTGTTCTCTGTCGAAGGATCTGAGGGACGTTATGATGGCCATTCCGTCTCCGTTCGCTCCCTCTGCAATAAGAAATTCGCATTACGCATTATTAAGTTTTACGAGCATATCGGTGTCGGTGGGTAGGATTCGCGAAGCGGCTCTCTCGTGTAATTCCATAAGATTTAAATATAATTTATGGTCGGTTTAAATTTAATTTGACAGTTCTGATATTTTCCTCGAGAGTTGCAAATGAAGCTTTATTATGTTCTGTGCAAAATATACAGTCGACGAACATTAGAAAAAATTATGCAGAGTGTCTCTGCGAAAGGCTGGGAAATCTCGAAGCTACTGGAAGATATTGGTGGACAAAAGAAGTTGATTGAGTCAAATATGCCTTGTGCAAATGTTGCTGGTTTCAAAGGTCTAGAGCGTTCAATGTTTGAATTATATTTTGATATTGCTCAATAATTTTGAAAACTATCAGAGTACGAAAAAAAAATTGGCACCACCATGTTTTTTGACATGACAAATAAGAATTTTTAACTAATTTTGGTGTTGTTTGTGATGGTTATCATACAAAAATAGAGAACATGGTTTCTACTGTGCAGCTTTATTAGTATTTTTTGTTAACCATTGAGGCAATTGCATTTTCATAGTATTTTTCCAAGTAATTATTTTGAAAAGAAACAAATTCCGACCCTCAATTTTGCATGTCTGGAAAGAGTAAATATTTATCGTGCTATACAATGCTTTTAAATAATATTAATACATTATACAATGTATACGTCGACGTTTATTGTGAAGCTGAAGTAAACAGTAACTGTATTGTTTTCAGAAGTGATCAATCTTCCTTGTATACAAAACCCTGAAACAATGTACTCAACTTTTTATATATTTTCAAACTGACGTGTATTCAACGTGGAACATCAGCGGCCGTAATACATTTTAATAAAAAATGTATTTCTTATTATCTCGCCACTAAGATATGCTTTTTATATTTAATAACAGACCCCAGGAAAATTAGATTTATATCTTGTATTTTAACGGGGCTGGTGAAATTAAATATTCAGGAACCACTTTACACGGTTACAAAGTTCGAAGGTAAGTGAAAACCTGACATAATTTTGTTCCCGTCATTTAATTAGTGTGTGTATACATCGCAATTACAAACTTTATATTCATAAACTGTATAATAAATTACATTTTTTTGTTTGGTTTTTACTAGAGTTGTCAAGGGTTTTTTAATATTAATTAATAACACATTTTCTAAAACACCTCTAAAGTTGTTTCGCGTAGAGAAAAAAAAGGGGTAATTATTTAATTAATTAGAATAAAAAATTTTTGGAATTCGTGTATGAATATCTTTACCAGTGGCGGAGATATCGGAAGTCATTGTCTCTAAGAACCCCAGAAATTAAAAAAGATCAATGTTTTACGTGATTTTGTTTTGGGTGATAACAGGATAGCAAAAACACACAGGATGTTGCTCAGGATGATTTCATTAACAATTTCAATATATCTGGTATGTTTTCTGTATTAATTATATTGAGACATATCATTTTAATTTTTCATTTTGGTTAATTATTCATTAGTTGTTTGCTAGGTACTAGCGGGTATTCAAATTTGAGTTAACTTTTTAAATTTGCCGCCATTCGTATTCTATGTACTGGAATGGTTTTGGTTTTTTGACAGCTGTTAAGTAGAAACATGGCGGTTAATAATAACTATGGACAAGTATATGATGGAGCAACGCGTCTTTATTATTGTAAATCAATATTAGTTGGGGGCATGTAGGCCATAGAATATTAATTCTTTCCCTCAATATCGGCAATTACGAGTTTTATCCATGGGGTTGGATATCTTTTGCATACCCAGATTTCCGATATCAAAGAACATTATTTGACATCATTTGATAATATTAAAAAAATGTTTTGTGAATTCGCTTAATACTGATCCTTTTTAGCGCAAGGTTTTCTTTAAGTTTCTAATGTTTTCACGGGAAGCAAAATTCTTGTCAAACAGAGAAAAAATGTAATGAAATTTTAATAATTTCAAAATGGAAAATATTCTTTTTGTTCGAAACACTTATACTACAGGAATTACAAATAATCAGTGATATTGATTTTTTGGGTCGTTAATGATAGTGACTAGTTCGAAATCGGCCAGTTTTTATTTCAATAAATGATTGTTTCAAGTTTCATCACTCTGTGCCAACTGAATGTCTTTAAAGATATTTTAGAAAATGCAAGAGTCTTTAGTAGATGTCTACTTTATTTCATTTTACTTTAAACTTTCAACAATTACCTAGTTTTAGGTGAGGATGATTTATTTTTTAATACAATGTGTCCAATTATGTCGACACCGTATGGGAAACTTTTTTATTATTGGTTTTATAAAAAAAAGTTATTCTTGATAAAAAGTTCTGCATGGCCTAAAACCCAAAATGAAGTAATCAGATTTCAACTTTCTGCAGTCGTATACAAGGTTTGATGAAAAATGTAAATTTTGACCAAGAGTAAAGTACCTTTATTTTTTACAATATTGACAATCGTTATTAAGAAAAGTTGATCCTAATAGAAAACTACTAAAAGATATCCAATATTATCCATCTACCATTAAAAACAATCTTTAATAATGTTTGGGTATAAAGATAAATTATAATTCAATTTTGCAAATCATAAAACATTTATTGTATTGGATTCATTGGTTTGTGAGTGCATTCTAGATTTAATGTCTATCTCTAGACGTAAATTATCAATGGTAATACAGAGAAGAGTTTGTAAAAATAACAAAATCTGTTTTTTAATGGTAGATGGTTGGTCGATGGATATCTGACCGTACTTTTCTATTAGGACCAACTTTTCTTAATAACGATTGTCGATATTGTAAAAAATAAAGGTTCTTTATTCTTGGTCAAAATTTACATTTTTCGACAAACCTCATATACGACTGTAAAAAATTGAAATCTGATTGCTTCAATTTGGGTTTTAGGCCATGCAGAACTTTTTATCAAGAATAACTTTTTTTCATAAAACCAATAATAAAAAAGTTTCCCATATAGTGACGACTTAATTGGACAGTGGACACACTGTATATGTAGCAGAATCAAAAATGTAAAAACTTGTTATTTTTGGTTTCACAGCCTTTGTTTCATAAATGTCATGTTTGTGTATTTTTGGAGATTAAGTGCGTAGTTTTAATAAAAAATTTACATTACAATTTTTTGTTTATACCTCTTCTTATCTTTCTTTTCATTATTCGTTAAACCATCTTCATTTCTGGTCTTTGTAGTACTTTTATGACATTTCATTTGAAAAATTTATTATTTTTGATTGTCTTTAAGCATCACAAATCGCAAATTTTTTGTTTTCAATTTCAACACCAGACCTTTTTTATTTTGACAACCAAATTCTATTTTTAAGTTTAATTGATCCTAAACACGCTGTATAATTTATCTACATTGGGGTACTTACTTTGGTCTTGTTCCACCTTGAATGAAGCCCTGACGATGTCGCTGGCGCTGGGGTCGAGTCTGAACTGGAACGGTGGCCCGTTGCTCTTGGATCTGTCATCATCGTCCGTGGCTAGTAGTTCGACCACTTTGCGAGGAGGAACGTGTTCAGGAACCACCGGTCTGTAATCTTTCAGGAAAGTGGGAGCGTTATCGTTGATGTCTTGTACGATCACAGTGAGCGTGGCAGTGGCTGTCTTCGGAGGGATGCCGTCGTCGATGGCGAGGATCTTAACCTGGTGACGCGGAGTATCTTCCCTGTCCAACGAGCGCTGGATGCTGACCGTGCCCTCTTGGTTGATGGAAAACTGGCGTTTTCTGTCCGAACTCCTGTCTATGGCATAGGAAACTTTGCTCTTCCCGCCCTGGTCGGGATCGGTGGCTTTGAAGGTTTCCAAGCTCTTGCCCACCTCGGCGTTCTCGAACACCGACACCTCGATGTTGGGCCGCTCGAACTGAGGCTTGTTGTCGTTGATGTCCCTGAGCCTTACGACGACCCAGGAGTAGGCCACGTGATACTTGTCGTTGTCGTTGTCCTCACCTTTGTCGTTCACCTGGATCCTGAACCTGAACCCGTTGCTTTGGAGCAAGTCCTCGTAGTCCAGCGGTTGCACGATCTTTAACGAACCCGTCCCGTCGTTGTTTCGGACCATCGTGAACTTATCGGCACCGTAACCGCTGTTCTCGATCACCTTGTACTGGAACTTGTTCGTCTCGTCCTCGTCGTGCACCGTAACCGTGAGGATGGGCATCTCCGGCAGCGAGGTGCCGTCCGTCTCGTCGACTTCGGTGTTCCACTCGTCCTTCGTGAACTGCGGAGGCATGTCGTTGATGTCCTTCACGCGTATCGAGGCCGTCCCCGTGCCTTTCAGGCCCCCACCGTCCATCGCAACCACCTGAATGGAATAGTCAGGAGTCCGCTCCCTATCTAAACAGCACACCGCGGTTTTTATTACTCCCGTTTCCGATTCGATTTCGAAAATCGGCGATCCGGTCTCCTCCTCTATGACGTTCTTCTCTATGGAGTACACCAGGCGGGCGTTGGTGCCCTCGGAGGGATCGTCGTAGTCAACGGCCGTCATCGTCATAACGACCATGCCGGCGGTGCCGTTTTCCGTCACGTTTCCGAAGTAGACGCCCTGGGGGAAGATGGGGGCGTTGTCGTTGATGTCCTTGAGGTTGACCTGGACGTCGGCGTAACCCACCAACCCCTCGCCGCCCTCGTCCTGCGCGAATACGGTGAATCGCCATTGTGGCCTGCCGTTGGGCTGGTCTCGATCCAGGGGCTGGAAAAAAGGGGCATTTATACAGGATGTTCGGAAATTGGCTTGCAATAATTTACTGGCACATTCTATGTTTATAAATAAAATAAAAAATATTGTCGGAGAAATTGCTAAACCCCCACCCCCCTTTAAGCGTGAACTCCTGCAACCGTTCGATATAAAACAACTTGAAACTATTTATTGCTTAAGTTTGATTCTATTGCATTATATTCTGTTTAATTTTAAAAAAAGTTTAGACAATTTAACAGTATAAGTGTGCATTTTAGTATTTTGATAGGTCGTACCGGTTTAGAAGTAAAATTGATTTAAAAACTGCAACAAAAAGGTTTGTTCTAAATTAAAAACCAATTGAATTCATCTGTCGACTACTTTTCTGTAAACTTTTTATCTGACAGTACTGTGTGCAAAACCATACTTATCGTATCAACTTCAACGTCACCTGTTACGTGGGTGTTATACAATAATGAAAACGTAATATTGACAGTTGGTAGAAGGAAGCGCAAAAACAAACGCTTAGGTGGGGAATTCTGGAAGGAAGCCTAAATAAAAGTGTTTAACCCGTATTAATTAGCAGGTAATTATTCTTTAAGTACTTTGTTGTTAATTGTTCTATGTAATCTTATGATTGTGATGGTTACAGATGTTTAATGATAATAATTCTTTGTATGTTTATCCACCATTGCTTTATGCTCAAGGGCATATATTTTTCTAAGGTAACATTGTTACAATTATTATTAGCGATTGCTCATCATTTATTACATGTTAATATATATATATTGTCGTGACTGCCCACATATTGCAATAACAACTCCTTTGTTTCACATTTAACATGTTTTGTCATGATTACATTGTTCGAAAAACAACTAATAAAGCATTTCTTGTGCTCACTTTATGTCATACGCCTATAAGAGCCTTGTTGATTTTACTAACATTTTCGCTCGTGAGGCATGAATCTGTAAAAAGAATAATTAAATACAAAAAAGAATTGCTAAAACAGATCTTCCGAAATCTCAACTCATAGCTGGATTGCCTCCCGTATCAGACTCCAGTACCTTCCGGCCCTGCCGGCTAACTAACACGAAAACTTTTCAGTTTTACTTGGAAGTGTATATGTCAAATTCGAGTGAGGTGATATTTAGTGAGACATTAAATGAGTCGGGCGTTAATTATAATTAGCAAAGGATCCTAATTTAAGCCTTTTGTTAGCGGTTGTTTTGTATTTACATTTGGGTAGTTAGATCAACGATCGTGGGTTCCTCTGCCATGCTCTTTCCCCACAGGAGCTCTAGGTGAGCCTGGCCCTCTCATTTTATGTTAAATGGTTGTTAATGCTTTTGTTGTTCTTTCTATTTGTCACGTTTAATTTGAAAACTGTTGTACGTAAATAATAAAGTTAGGTGTATTTACTCTGCTTTTGTTTTATAAAATTAAACTATAATTCCCCTCTTTAAAGTTAGTAACCAGCGCCTTCCGGTCAATTAAAAATGGACAACATAGGTATTCCTTATGACGATCACATATTTTTGGCCACAATTACGTTTATTTCTTTTCGATCGAACCCGGGGTTGTTATACTACAATTGTTACTCTGTTACGATACACTAGTCATAAAAATTAAGGGATATTTAAGAAATCCTAATTTTTTTTGGTGATTTTCAGAGGGAAATGGTCGTCGAAATAAAAAAAGGAAACTAAAGCATCAAGTTTCTAGTTTTCGCATGTGGGTTTAAAAATTTTTGCGTCAGTAATCATAAGAAAACCAACGAAAACAAATTTTTTCAAATTTGTATGGTCTAATATTTTCTTTTTGGTAATTTGGTAATTACTCTGGAAATAATTATCATACAGATGGAATTTCCAGAAAGGAGTTCTTGGATTAGTTTTAAAAAAATCCTTTTTTAAAGAAAGCTTATGCAAACTATTTAGACTTTGAAGAACTCGGAAAAAATTCAAAATTTGTGGAATGAAATACAGCAATCCATTGGGTATATCAACTTTTTTAAATTAGCATTTAGAACTAAGGCATTTACAGCGATAAAAAAATCAAACAACATTTTTTTAATATCTGTGAAGCATTGCGGATATGTTAAAAACAATTTAATTTAATTTTTTTACAATAATTAATATTTCTTGATGAAGGAAATAGAAATTATTGCTAAATAAACATTTTCAACTTAAAAAAATAAAATTATTCGTTATTTTGATTTTCAGCAAAAACGACAAATGACCCCGCAGGTTCCTTATGGAAAATGGCTTCCAGCCGACAGTTCTGAAAATTTGGATTTGAATAGCTCTCGAAGCTTAGATAAAAAGTTGTCATATGCACTAAGCTGAGAAAATTATATTTTTCGAAATATAGTCGCCGAAAGGTAGGAGTTATAGTACCGCTAGGTATAAATTGAAGAATACTCATTGTAAGGTCAAATGAAGAGAAGCCATGCAATCTGTCCAAAACACATATATCTTAGATTGTCGGGGTTACTGAATCCCAATCAGCCATTCATTCGGGTATACAGTATACAGAAGGTGCTTAGGGAAAATGATGAATTTCAATTGGATGAACATATAGATGAACCAGGACTTCTAAGAGGACGAACTTTCTCAAGATTCCGAAATGCTGCAAGATTTCAAATATTCATTAGTTATGTTAACGTGGATGAAGACTTCGATAATTATGGTGGTGATCAAGATAATGGTCCAATCCTAGCATATTATTGCACGTGTTACTCAGGAGCGAGAGTAGTAGGAACTTGTACTCATGTGGCCAGTGTTTTTTGGTTTCTAGGCTATGCCTGCCATCAACCACATGTGAAGTACCCAGATGATTCACTATTAAATACTACAATGAATGCAAATAATTAATTGATAATTGAATTACTTAATTATAATTTATGTTATACCTTTTATTTCAGACAATATTATTTCTTATTTGAAAATGATTCAATATGTATTCGTTACGATGTATAGTAAAGTCAAAAACATATGTATTCATCAACGATGTTTGATAGGTGTGTAGTACAACATTAATAAAGAATGTACTTTAGTTAAAAAAGTTTTTACTTATCGATTTTTAACCTACCCAATTAATTAGTAAACTCCAGAACCAGGTTGGCTGTGGAACATCTTACAACCTATTATCCTCTTAATACTTCTCACTTTGCAAATGCGCAATACAATATAATAAAAAATATCCTAAAGCTGTAATAAAATATTACTTAATATTATTATAATATGATTACAGATGTTTGGAACAGATTACATTTACAATGATCTTACAATGACCTTCATTTGATCTTGATGTGACCTTGAAACTCATCCGCACAGCCTAATGGATGGCAGATTGGGATTGAGTGACCCCGATAACGTAAGGAACATGTGTTTGGGACAGATTGCACGGCTTCTTTTCATTTGACGTTACAAGCTAAGAGGCTTCTTTAATTTATACCTCGCGGTACTATAACTCCTAGCTTTCATCGACTATATCTCGGAGAATATAATTTTCTCAGCTTAGTGCCTATGACTACTTTTTGTCTACGCTTCGAGAACTATTCAAATCCAAAATTTCAAAACTATCGGCTAAAAGCCATTTTCCATAAGGAACCTGCGGGGTCCTTTACCTAAACATTTAGAGCACTAGAAAAAAAAATCTTAAAAATCTTTCTTTAGGACACTGAGATTGAAAAGTTAGTCAATATCCTTAGTTTATCCATTATTTGCCAAGTTATTCAAATATCCCTAATTATGCAATTTTTTACCTTTTTCCAACCAATATCTTCACTTCAAATAAATGTTTTTATGGAAAACCAATAATTGCGAAATTTAGAGAATATTTTGCAGTTTTCAAAACCCTGTTTGGAATTTCTGTACGACCATTATTTCCCGAGTAATTGATTGCCAAAGTCAAAAATGATTGTTTTGCTTTAATCGACGATACCTCAGTGACAAATCATCGTACAAGGCTCCGGAATCTCTCAAATTGAAGGGAATTAAATTATCTAAAAGAGCTTTACGATGAAATTACCAAAAAAAAAAAAAATGATGAAGTCGACCTTTTGAAAGACAAGCAAAAATTTGGAACAACATTTTTTTGTTTTTTTATGATTACTCAAAAACCGCTGACGCTAAAAAAATTTTAAACTCCAAATCCGAAAACTAGAAACTTGAAGCTTCAGTTTTTTTTTCTTTTTGATTTCGATGATCATTTTCCTCCAAGTTTAAAAATCTCCCAAAAATTTGGAATTTTTTAAATATCCCGTAATTTTGGTCACTAGTGTATAATAAATACCCTATTATTTTATAAAATAAGTTATGGCTAAGTAGCACAAAAAATAATAAAGTAAAAAAATCCAGTTAATAAAAAACAAAAAAATACAACGAAAAACTAATTTTCAACTCAACGAAATATTTATTTCAGCTTGTAACATATTTTTACATCAATTTTACTGCAAAATCAACAACTTATCCAAATCATATAAGAGTAGCTTTTTACTGTGAACTCTAACATTTTTATTTGAAAGATACTCATTTCAATCTCATTCTTTTAACTCGGACGGATCCGGAGACACGATTTCCTTATGTTTGTATTTTTTAATGTTTTTAGTCGTAGAATATGCTATAAAAACATTACGGGTAAATTTCGGGTCACCCCGTATACTAAAGTCGATTTTCTGGATATGTTGGACCTAACGTAATAAACTACCGACATGGAAGCTATAAATCAAGGCTCGAGCCGTCGGTCGTGGGCGAAATATATCTACGAGCGAAGTAATTATGAGGATGCCGGCAGATATAAAAAGTATAGGTTAATTACAAATGAGCAGGTATTATTGCGGCATTATCGATTGCATCAAATAGCTATGATATATTCGAGAAAAAACGACAGTACCTACTCTTTGTTTTTCCTTGCTGTTATAATGTGACCTGGTTAAATGTGCGCTATAAATATAAAGTATAGCTTGTTTATGTTATCGTAACGTTCCAGCAGACGATGTAAAGGGTATTTTG